TCCTGATCTTAGAAAAAAAGTGGTCAGCTTTTCACTGTTGAGTATGATGTTAGCTGTGGGCTTGTCATATATGGCCTTTATTATCTTGAGGTGTGGTTTTTCCTTCCATACCCAATTTGTGGACAGTATTTTCTTGAAAGAATGTTAAATTTTATCAAATGCTTTTCTATATCTATTGAGGTAGTCATACGATTTTATCCTTCATTCTGTTAATGTGGTGCATCACATTTATTGACTTGTGTATATTGAACTATTCTTCTATCCTGGGGATGAATTCTACTCGGTCGTGGTGTATGATCCTTTAAATGTGCTGTTGAATTTGGTTTGCTTGTATTGTATCTATATTCATCAGAGATATTGGCCTGTAATTGTTTTCTTTGATAGTATCCTTGCCTGGGTTTTGATAAGAGTAATGCTGGCCTCATAAAATGAGTTTGGAAGTGTTCTTTTCAATTTTTTTATAAGAATTTGAAAAAAAATCATTCATTCAATAAATGTTGGTAGACTTCACCAATGAAGCTATATGGTTCTGGACTTTTCTTTGTTGGGAGATTTTTGATTACCTATTCAATCTCCTTATTCATTATTGGTCTGTTTAGATTTTTTTATTTCTTTATGATTCATTCTTGGTAGAGTGCATATTTCTAGGAATTCATCTACTTCTAGATTATCCAATTTGTTGGTGTATAATTGTTCGTGGTAGCCTCTTGTGATCCTTTGCATCTTTGCAGTATCAGTTGTAATGTCTCCACTTTCATTTCTGATTTTACTTATTTGAGATTTCTCTCTCTCAGTCTATCTAAGGATATGTCAATTTTGTTTACTTTTCAAAAAACCAACCGTAGTTTTGTTAATCTTCTCTATTGTTTTATTAAATTCTCTATTTCATTTCTTTCTGCTCTAATCTTTATTATTGCCTTCCTTTTGCTAACTTTGGGCTTAGTTTGTTCTTTTTCTAGTTCTTTGAGCTGTAAGGTTAGGTTGTTTATTTGAGATATTTTTTCTTAAAGTAGAAGTTTATCACTAAATTTTTCTTAGAATTTATTTTACTGCTTCTCATGAGTTTTGGTATATTGTGTTTCCATTTTCATTTGTCTCAAGATATTTTTTTTGTTTCCCGTTTGTTTTCTTCTTTGACCCATTATTTATTTAGGAGCATGTTGTGTTGTTTAATTTTTACATATTTGTGAATTATCCTGTTCCCCTACTGTTATTGATTTCTAGTTTCAATGAATCATGATTGGAAAAGATTAACTTGATATAATTTCAGTATTAACTTGGTTAGACTTGTTTTTTGGGCTAATGTATGATCTATTCTGGAGAATGTTCCTTGTGCACTTGAAAAGCGTGTGTATTCTGCTATTTTAAAATGAAATGTTCTGTATATGTCTCTTAGGAATATTTGGAATATAGTGCTGCTGTTCCAGGCTGCTGTTTCCTTATTGATTTTCTGCTTGGATGATATATCCATTGTTGAAAGTGAGCTATTGAAGTCCTTTACTATTATTGTATTGCTATCTATTTCTCCCTCAGTTTGGCTAGTATTTGCTTTATATATTTAGATACTTTGATGTTAGGTGCCTGTATCTTTATAATTGTTACATCCTTTTGATGAATTGATCCCTTATCATTATATAATGATCTTCTTTGTCTCTTGTGACAGTTTTTGACTAAAGTCTATTTTGTCTGGATATAGGTATAGCCAGCCACCCCTGTTCTCTTTTGGTTACCATTTGCATGAAATATCTTTTTCCATGCCTCCAGTTTTGGCCTAAAGGTTAAGTGAGTCTCTGGTAGGTGGCATATAATTGGATCTTTTTAAAAAGAATCTGTTTAGCCACTCTACTTTCGTTGATTAAAGAATTTCATCCATTTAAATTTAAAGTAATTGTTGATAGGTAAGGACTTACTATTGCCATTTTGTTAATTGTTTTCAGATGTTTTTTGTAGTTAGTTCGTTCCTTTCTTTCTCTCTTGCTGTTTTCCTTCATGATTTGATGATTTTTTGGTAGTGGTTTGCTTTGATTCCTTTATCTTTTGCATACCTGTTAACAGGTTTTTCTTTGTGATTAGTATGAGTCTTACATAAAGCATTTTGTAGTTACAGCAGTTTATTTTAAGCTGATAAGGACTTAACTTCAATTGGATGCAAGCACTCAACACTTTTACCTTTTCTTTTTCCCACACTTTTTGGTGTCCATAAGCCAGACAATGGGATCTGTGGCCAGTTGTTGAAATTTGTGTATCAGTACCCCAAGCTGAGTCAGCCATGCTGATTTCCTCAGTTCTGGGTGGGGTGAGACAGAAGTTGGCTTCCTGGGCAGCATCCTCAAGGCTGGGGCAGTTGGGTGCTTCACTCTCACTTTCCCTTGTGGGAAAAATTGTGGGTTGAGGGTGTCTTTCTTGGCACTGAGCTGTGCTGCCTTGCGGGAGGGGTAATGCAGGTAAAGTGAAACTGTTCTTCTCTTCAATGTGTCTATTCTCAGAATTTTTGCTCCACTGAGGTACTGGAACCTCTCAGCTGGATTTCAGGGCACCCATAAAGGTGCTCTCATCTGTGGGTGGTTTGAGAACTGGAACCTCCTATTTTACCATCCTGCTGACAGTCATTAATTCTTATTTATTATGCTAAAATATTTGACTCACCTAGAATTTATTTTGGTTTAAGATATGAAATAAGGATCCAACTTCACAGTGTTGGTTTTTTTTTGTTTGTTTTGTTTTGTTTTGTTTTGTTTTTCTGGCAGATAGCTACTTGTTTGAACAATATTAATCAATAATCTATCACACTCCTCACCCCCACTCCCCAAACTAAGAGTCCATGTTTTTCCTCCATCTTTGTCTGGGCTTTCCATTCTTTTCACTTCTCTGTTTGAGGTAATGCTTTTTAATGCCTGTAATTTTAGAATATATTTTACTCTCTAGAGGGGTCCATTAAAACTCTTAATCTTTTTCAGAAAGCAGAATGGAAGAGAAAAGTGAAGGAACTGCACGAAGAGCACTCAGCTCAGAAAAGAGAGGTAGCTCTCATTGGGTGGCCTGGGGAGCTTGGTTCCTGTGACCCCGTCTCATCCTTCAGCAGGCCACATTTCCCTGCACCTTGAATTGGTTGGCAGATATTTTGTTGCTGATACTGTTTCTAGGTGCTGACCTTCATCCACACACAGAAGAGTCAGCTGCCCAGACAGCAGCTTCCCTGGCCAGGAACAGTGGTCAGGTTTTCTCTTCTGAATCTAACACATCTTTTACTCTGTGATCCTCTCAGCAGTGACCCTTTCAGGTCCTCCAAGGCGGGTTGTGCTATACACCTCAGATGCATTGTCTGGTCTTTTTGTGTTTGGGTCCTTCTTTAAAATCTCACCCAGGAGAGAACTAGATGGCTGTGAACTTCAGTGATGGTTCAGGAGGAGCCCCAGTGGAAGGGCTCAGATACTGAGACCAGCGAATAGAGAGTAGCAGGCCTCAGGGCAGAGAAAACAGCTTCTATAAAAATGCCCCTGAGGAGGAGGCAAGTTGAAGAGGAAGCCAGTTAACAAGAGTCCCAGGTTGTGCCTGCAGAGAGCTCAGAAGATGAAAGTGCTTAGATCAGAGCTGGACACACAGTAGCCACCCCACTCCAGTAACCCCTTCTGATGGTTTTATTTTAAACATTTTGAAATGGGAAAATACATACAAATTCATTCCAAAAACAGAAGAAATATAGGAAGGTACACTGAGTAAAGTCTCACTTCCACTCCATCTTCAGCTTCCTGTTCCCAACCCCCACCCCACCCACACACACATACAGGTGACCACTTTTATTGTTTTCTTGCATATTTTTCTAGAGTTTCTTTATGCAAATATAAATAGTCTCATTTTCTCTCTGCTCTTATACCAGAGGTAGCGTGTTTCCACATTTTCTTTACCTTTTGTTTTCACCTGAAAACATCCATTTGATGATTTTTGAATGACCTCTTCTTACCTGACTGTCTCAGTGGGTGGCCACACCTGACAGAGGCCCTTTTGCCCTGATCTTAGGGGCCTGCATTCAATTCTCACTTCTCCTCAGGCACAGCTGGAAAGTAGTCAGTCTTGTTAGAAAGCCACCCGCCCAGGTCTGGAAACCCTCCACCGTGCTTCAGGTGAAACCCCGACTAGCATTTGCCTATAGGTTCAGGCCTCAGAGACACTGGGTACTCAGAGGTCCCTTCAACATTTGACCAAACCACCATCCTGTGTGCCCACCAGCTGCAGGAGGAGAACGAAAGGCTCCAGGCTTCCCTGTCTCAAGACCAGAGGACAGCAGCTGCCCAGTCCCAGCGCCAGATCCATGCCCTCCACACCCAGCTGCAGGAACAAGCCAGGCTCATCGCCTCCCAGGAGGAGATGGTAGGTCTGTTCCTTCTTCCAGCCTCTGGTGCCCCTGGGCCACTTCCCTGCGAGGATCTCCTTAGATTCTTCAGGACTCATCAGCATTCGTTTCATTAGTTAGGTTCTTTAAGGAGAGCAAAGAGTCCCCAGGCTTGAGGGGCACAAAGTGGTGAGGATGCAGCCCGCCTGCCTCCAGGCTGGAGATGTGCCTGTCATCCTTACGGCTGCCGGCAGATGGGTTCACTAATATCAGAGACCATACTAACTGCCAGCACCTGGTAGATACTTTGCTTTTTGCTTCATTTAAGCCTCATGACTGCCCTTCAAGAGCCCCTGTGACTCTTCACCTACTGCGGATAATTCTCTGCCCAGCCCAGGCTCAGCTCCCTACTTCTGAGCCCCAGGTCTGTGGGGAAGTATGTCTTTCCCTGGCTGGGCCCCTCCTGTGGCCTCAGGTCCTTGGTTCCAACACCACCCTCCACACAGCTTCCCTGGGCTGAGCACCCACTGTCACTATCTAGTCCACTCTTTCTGCACCTGCACTCGTGCTGTTTGTGCATTTCTGTTCTCCTAGCCGTACTTCACCCAGTCAGCTTATCTTGCCCACTCCTCTGCTGCTTTTCTTTTCACTGTTCGCCCCTCAAAACACTTAGCTCTTCATTGCTGTGGCCAGACAGGTCCAGTCTGGAGGTTTCTTCCTTATGTTACCCAGAACTCTTGTTTGTAAATGTTTCAGTTAGGAACCCATTGGCTAAACATATCAGAATAGATTAATAGGGGTTTATTTTTATTGTAACATCCAAAGAGGTCATCATTGCTGGCCTTGGTTTTGCAGCAAAATTATGCCATTGGAAATTCAGACTCTGTTTTCCTTTTTATCATCTTCTGTATGTTTAGTTTTTATTCTCATGCTTGACTCTCATAGTTGCAAGATGGCTGCCATAGCCCTAACCATCACAGCGATATTTAATGGAAGAAGTTGATGAAAAGACCCCCTTCTAAGACTTCTGCTTATATTTTATTGGTCAAAGCTATATCACATTGGTAGCCATAGTTGCAAGGAAGCCTAGGAAGTAAATAATTTGTTTTTATAGTCTCTAGAATAGAGCTAGGCAAAGGAAGAAATAAAAGGTACTAAAAAACAACTCAAACTTAAGCAGAAGAGGGAATTTGTCATAAGGGTAGGTAGGGTGTCCCACAGAGCTCAAGGCAGGAGAGCAGCTGAGCCTGAGAATAAACTGGAATTGGAGACATGAATATGGTCAGGAGTTTTCCTCTGCTGTGCATCTCTGTCCCTTTCTTTATATCTGCTTCAATTTTTTGCTTTTAGCTCTGAAGATCAGCTTCCATTTCTCTTTTCCATGTGGCAGAACAAATAAACAAATACATAAACAACCCAAGAAAACCAAAACCCAAACCAGTTGGCTGCTGTAAGCTCTTGACTTCACACATTACCAGTCCAGAATTCTCTGCCCAGACCTAGACAGTCAGTTATGGCGGTGGCATGGGTTCACATTGTCACATGTGGCTGCCTTGTTTGCAACCATGTGGAAGGAGGAAGAAGAGTCACTTCCTGGAAAAGGGGGGTTGAGCAGACAGTTTGGTGACTGTTCACCTCATGCCTCCTTCCTCCTAGGGGGCACTCAGCTCAGATGAGCACATTGCAGGAGGGACCCCTACCTTGCCTGGCTGTTTTCCACCAATTGTACCAATAGTACTGACTGTGCCTGTCTGTTTCCATAGGGCTCCTGCCTTTCGAACCCTAGTCCGTCTCTGAAGAGGGGGCATTCTTATCTCCCCACTATGGGAAAATGGAGCATGGTGCCATCCTGGTTGCTGCCATTTAACCTGGTGCCATCCCTCTCAAATATGGATGGCAGGAGATGCGTTGGGGGTTTGGGGTGGTGTACTCTGAGCTCCTCCCATTTCCCAGAGCTCCTTCCATGGGGTGGCATGGAAATTGTGGCTGTCCCTTCTTCATGGTGCTAGGCAGACCCAGTGCTCAGAGCAGAGTTCCCTGCTGGCAGTAATCTGCTCTATTCCACATCTTTGCAGATCCAGACCATGTCCCTCAGGAAGGTGGAGGGTAAGTTTGCATGGGGTGGTTTGTAACAGTCTTGGCTGTTGTCTTGGGATCTTCTCTTTCCTGTCCCCCACTAGTCAATTTATAGGATGAGGATGAGGACATGTGATGTCAGACTCTCCGACTGGGCGAGGGAGGGAGAGAAGACTTTTGCTTCTGGGACAGACAGGGTTGCAGGCTGGCATTTGTGCTGAAAGTGTTCGTGCAGCTGGCAGGGTTTCTTGCCTCGCTTGCTCTTCTCTGTAGGGTGGTGGAGACATGGGGAGGGGTGAGGAACTTGGAGGCAGTGATTGATGGAGCAGGGTTCATGAACAGGCTCTTTCTAATTCACCTTCTCTGTGGTTCAGGTCATTGACTTTTACTTTTTATTGTTCCTATTGTGTAGCAAGTTGAGCCCAAATATATGTGAATGTGGCCTGTCTGGAGTGTGCACTTCCCTCCCCTTCAGCCCTGGTGTGTGTATGTGTGTGAGTGTGTAATGGAATGCAAGTGCTGGTGTCTAAAGGCAGACAGTAACCTACAGGGGATTGCACCTGCTTGGAGGACCTTGGCCAACCCCTTATGAAACTGGTCCCTCATACTCCACTCCACCTCCCCTGTCCTACTCTGTGGTTATCCTTCTCGCAAACACACACATCTCCCACTCTCTGTTTTGAGGCTAGACATTTCTTTCCCAGCCTTGCAACCAGTTCAGAGGAGCACTATTCCTGTGGCCTTGAACTTCCCAGTGCTGGGGCTGGGATGTGTGCCTTGCCCTTCCCAAAGCACTTCAGATTCATTATTTCATTATACTGTGCTAGTGATTTAATGTGGGGTGGGTATTATTATCCTTATTTTGTAGATGAGGAGATGGAGGCTTAGAGAAGTTCAAGGACTTGCCATGTCATGCACAGTTAGTGAAGGTCAGAGCTGCAATGTGGACTCTGATCTTTCTGTCTTCAGTGTCTTTGACCACTGCTCCATCCTGCCTCTCTCTGGTAAAGAGATGACTGGAGAGCTTACTCTTTCTGGCTGGCACTCACAGGGTGTCCCACGCTTTTCTCTAAGTCAGGGATGGGGTCCAGGGCATTGGAGCCACTGACTGTTCCTGTTCTCCTCAGGGATCCGTGAGGGCCCCAAGGCTGTGGACACAGAAGAGGATTCTTCCGAGGAAGGTAAGGCCTCATTGTCTTCCTCAGTGTTCAATGCAGAAAAACATATTTGCTGCCCTCTTCGTTATTTAGTTTGTCTCTACTTAACTGTGTCTGGCCACTTGAGTATGGGGGTGACGGGAACCAGGGGCATGACTGCAGAAGGGTGTACAGTGGGAAGTAGGTCTCTCCACTCCCAGATTACTGGGCTCCACTTCCAGAAATTTTGGTTCCGTAGGGTTGGCTTGGGATCTGAGAATATGAATTTCTAATAAGTTACCAGCTGGGGCCGGTGCGATGGCTCACACTTTGAGAACCATTGCTCTAGAACAGCGGTTCTCAACCTTCCTGATGCCGCGACCCCTTAATACAGTTCCTCATGTGTGGTGACCCCCAACCATCAAATTATTTTCGTTGCTACTCTATAACTGTAATTTTGCTACTGTTATGAATCATAATGTAAATATCTTTTTGTTTTCCGATGGTCTTAGGTGACCCCTGTGAAAGGGTCGTTCGACCCCCAAAGGGGTCGCGACCCACAGGTTGAGAACCGCTGCTCTAGAACAATGGTTCCAAGGTGTGGTTATTTGTTAGAAGATCTCTGGGGAGTTTTAAAAATAAATATTAAGGTGTGGGGCCCACTCTCAAAGACTCTGATGAAATTAGCTTGGGAGGGGACCCGGGTGATTAAAATATGCAGCCAGGATTGAAATTACCACCCTCAACTGTGAGCTCCTTGAGGGTTTTATTCTGCTTCCCAACATCCAGCACCCAGCACTGGACTGTTCACATTCATATTACTTGTCAGTAAATGTCTATTGAGTGAATCAAAGGACCGGTACAGGTCTCACCACAGTGGCCCCCACACTGGACCTGAAGAGCACTTTTGGGGGGCTTCCCTGGATCACCCTGGATGGCCCCTTTGTAGCAGTTACCACATTTTATTGTAATTGCTAATTTTGTTACCATCTGGGTTGATATTTCTTAAGGCATGGTCTGTGGCTCATCTCCATCAGAATCATCTGGGCAAGTTAAAATCCCATAAGCCCCGAGTCATCCTGGGGCAGGCTGAGCCCTGATCTTGGAGGTCCAGACTGGCAGGGAATGAGAAACCTGAATATGGGAGGTGGGGGTGGTCTAACGCAGTGGTGCCCAGAAGCAGAAACACTCCAACTTCTGACCCAGGGATGGGCACATTGGCTCCGAGCTTGCAGGCTGTAGACCAGGATCACTGGCCAGGCTGGAGAACAAGTGAAGGCCAGGTGGGGGCAGTGGGGCTTTGGGCATGGAGGTTTCGGGTGCTCAAGCTGACCTTGGTGATTGTCTTGTGCTGCAGAGCTGGAGGACTCACAAGTTAGACAGCAGAAGGTGCTGGAAGCTCTGAGGCGAAACCCCACCTTGCTGAAGCAGTTCAGGCCAGTCCTGGAGGACACCCTGAAAGAGAAACTGGAAAGCATGGGGATAAAGAGAGTAAGTTCCGGGGCCACGTTATAAGGGCCGATACCTACCATTTAGACACAGGGTTTTCTTAAACGGACAAATGATTGATTGTTCTTTACGTTGTAAGCTTCTTTATCTTATTTGTTCCAACTGGGGCACCTTTGGTGTCTAGGAACATAAACACCCACACAGCTTCTCCTCTCACGTCACAGCGACAATGTAGTTCTTTCTGTTTCCTCCAATGGCTTCTTGAGATGCCACCCTGTGTCCTGTCCTCTCTGTGCTGTCCACTTATTGGTTATTTTCTTTGGGTTTCTATTTCTGACAAAGTGCACTTAATTGGCCCAGTCTGCCTCTGGATGAGTCCCTTGGGTGAAGTGTTCATTATCGGTGGCACATGAGGCCAAGCCTACTCAGCAGGGGGCTGTGGGTGAGGCAGGCACCGAAAGCTCTGTCTGGTATAAATTAGCATTTGAACACTGTTGCTCCCTCATGCTCATGTTCAACCAGAGCATGCAGATTATTTAAGGCATCAGTGAAATCTATTATTAAATAAGAACACACCATGTTATTAAAGGAGCCGAGCAACATGTCATTGAAAATACTATTTGTGCAGAATAAGAGTAGAACAAAAATAGGCACCTCGGTTTAATTTAGTAAGGATGCTCTAATATCTGACTGTTTTCAACTCTGCTTAGTCTAACTTTGGCCCTATATTCAGGCTTGACTTAAGCAGTTCTTTCCAACCTTGAATTCTCATCTTGGATTCAGATGCCTCCCAAGGCCCTCCCATGGACCCTGGGTAGATGTCAAAAGCCCAAGCAACTTCCAATAGGTCTTGGAAGGGTACCTGGCATTTGTTTTTTTGTAGTGGTTTTTAAAAAACATTGTTATCCTTGAAGGACAATGTGTCTGACATAACGATAGTGCCTGGGTACAAAAAGGAGCAAGTCATGGTCTCCCATCCTAAGATTCAGTCAGGTGGTGGAGAGGCATGTCCCGTCTAAGCCCCGTATGCTGTGATGTCGGTGGCATTATATGCAGCCCCTTTGTATTATCTTGCTGTGCACATTTTGATAGGGCGCCCAGACCCTAAACCACCACACTTTCAGCAGTGTGTGAAGCCACTGATCACCCTGCCCTGATACTCCTCTCACCCTCTCTCAGAAAGCACCCGGCGCTGATCACAGTGGCTCCCAGGCTGGCAGCAGGCTTAGAGGCTTAGGGGGAGGAGAAGAAGGGGAGCCCCTGTCTCCAGAGGAGAATGTCTTGTCTCTTCTAGGATGTAAAGGGAATCCCTGTGCAGACTCTCAGACACCTGGAGTCCCTCCTGAGAACTCAGAGGGAGCGGAAGGCAGGGAGGTTTTCTGAATTTCTGAGCCTGAGGAAAAAGCTCATCAAGGAAGCCACCAGCAGAGTGAAGGAGAAACAGAGAAATGGGGCCACGGTGTCCCAGCCAGATAGCAAGGCTCCAGGTAAGGTGATAAGAGGGCTTGCTCAGAGGGGCTGTGACCCAGGAGGGCTGGGGCTTTTTTTTGCACAAGAGGAGGATGTAATCCCTGCCATCATGGGAGCATGGCTCTGAAGGGTGAGATGGTGGGTCCCTATAGGTGACTGAGTCTGAAAGTCTTCTGTTGGGGAAACAGAGTCTGGGTGAGATAGGGTGGGTAGATATGTGGGCCCCAGGGTCTCTCAGGGAAGCAGAGAAGATCTAGACCTGGAGCTTGCAACCAGCCTGAGCTCTTCCTGCTCAGACTTGCTCCTCTCTCAGCAGCTTAACTCTGCCCTGCCTTACTTGCTTTTACCAGAAGTTGAACTTTGCTCCTACAGAGAGCAGCCGATTCAGTTTCTGGCTCTACAAACCAGGCATGTCAGTGCTGGGAGAAGGCCCAAGGCCTGGGAGCACGGAGGCTATAGGCAGAGGCAAATATCAATCAAATGAAAACTCTGCTCTGAAGCAGTGGGAGGGTGTGGGAGGTGGTGCCAACTCTACCTGCAGCCAATTCCTCGGAACTCAGACTTGTTTCTTGCAGGGGGTCATGGCTGCTGCTTTGTTCCTGGTGGTCATGACAAGAAAAGGCCCTGTGATTCTTATGGAGGATTAAAGTATATGGGCAAGGACCCTCCAGTCTCTGTCCCCAATCAGCTTAGGGAGCAAGGGAACTTGTGTTTCTAGGTTTGCACCCCCACCCTTTTCTAGAGGATTCTCAGATCCACTGGGCTGCTGTAATGGGAAGCTCTGGGTGGGTGGTTTTAGTGGGCCTGGGTCTCTCATGCAGGGTGATGCCCCAGCTCCTTTAACTTTGTCTCCTCAGTCAGAGGGAGGTCACTTCTGCCACCTCCTTGTGTCCAGGCAGACCCATCCTGAGCTCTTCATGCACAGGAATTTCCCAGAGTGTGGGCCACATATCTCGAGAGATGATTTTAGTTGGTACATGGATGAATAACTTAAAAATTTAATCTTTATTTTTCTTCATGTGCATTAGAAAAATATTACTAACGTAACCCCATGAGCTCATGGAAATTATTACTTGGACAAGTATAAAGTGGGTATTTTGTGTTTAAAAGTGGTATCATTTTATTTATTTATTTATTTAAAAGATTTTATTGGGGAATTGGGGGAGGGGAACAGTGTTGGGGAATTGGGGAAGGGGACCAGCCAAGTTGTTTTTCTTTAGTCTTTGTTGTGGAGGGCGCCAGTCGCCGCCTGGCTGCCTGCCAGCAGCTCATGGCCCCTAAGCTCAAGGTGCTATGTTCAATCTTAGTTGCAGGTGGGGGTAGCCACCATCCCTTGTGGGAGTCGAACCAGCTGCCTTGTTGTTAAGAGCGCACGCTCTATCCACTGAGCCATCTGGGCGGCAGCTCAGCTCAAGGTGCCGAGTTCAGCCTTAGTTGCAGGTGGGTGTAGCCCACCATCAAACAGGCAGTCTTGTTGTTACACCAGTTGAGCCATCCTGCCACCTGTTGGTAGCTCAGCGACAGCTCAGCTCAGGCGCAGCGTCACTGGCCCATGTGGGAATTGAACCAGTGGCCCTGTTGCTCAGAACTCGCTCTCTGAAGCTAACTCTTAACCAACTAAGCCACTCGGCCGGCCCTAAAAGTGGTATCATTTTATATAAAAATGCTAAGTAGATAGCAGAACAGTTGGTTTGAGAATATTGTGTCAAAAATATGGGAAACTGTCCTATTCAGTTTAAACTCCTGGACTTAAAATCTCTAAGGAAAGGACAATTCTTAGTCTTGCACCGAAATCTCAGAGAGAAGGGTATTTGTCCTGGTGGCTAACCTGCCTTTCATACTTCAATTTCAGTTCCTAGCTCTCTGCCTCAAGTGTTCATTCATTCATTGATTCATTTAGCACAGTATTTACTGAGGTTTCTCTGTGCCAGGACCTGCCACCTTAGCTGGGAAGCCAATCAGGACTAGGTGATGAGATGGAGCTAAGCACAGGGTGGTGGGAGCTTGGAGAAGAGAGGGGGTAGGCGGTGAAGGAAGTTGAATGGAGGGCCCCTCTCAGTCCCCTTTCTAAGAGAAGAGAAAGGTGTCTTGCTCCTCCAGGTGCCACTGTCCCCTCCAGCCCTCACTCCTATAGTCCGAAAGACAGGAGTGAGAGCCTCCCTGGTTTTAGGGTCCTGCCTTCTCCAGGGCATGTCACTGTGAGACGACACTGTGTTTTCACAGCACTTTGTAGACTCTCCTTCCACTTCTGTGTGAATGCTCACCTCAGACCCGTTTCTCCTCAGTCTGTGCCTCTTTTGTTTTGGAGCAAAGCTGCAGGATGTAGAAAGGCAGTGGCAAGAACCCTAGATTTGGGGTGACTGACAACCTGTGTTTGCATCCACCACTTACTTCCACGGAATTGTGGTCCGTGATCTAGTCCCTGAATCTCTGGAGGCCTCTGTAAAGTAAGGAAAACTACTCTCTGAAGGTGTCTGGGGCTAAAAGGAAGTCTGTTAAATGCTGGGCTTGGTGTCTGCCCAGTAACTGTAGCTTTTATTGGTATTATTTTCCCTTAGCAAGTTTGCCTTCCCCTTCTTTTCAGTTTATGCTTTCCTAGAAGGTCCACTTCTAAGTAAAAGCATTCTCTGAGATCAGTGTATTTCAAACATTTGACCTTGAACTACAGTACGAAACTTATTTTGTACTGTTACTTGGTCCACATATGTAAGAGTTTCATGGAACAGTACTTACTCCAACTCCCTGAGATGCATTTTCTCTCCTCTTTCCATAAAAAAAAAATGCTGATCTTGAATTCATCTCCCCACAAGGGGCCTTGATGCAATTTGGAAAATGGAGGGCTGTGTCTAATGTCCTGGCTTTACCACTCGCCACAGGCCTGGTAGGAGGTTGTATGTGGATCTTAGTGGCCCATGTGGTACTTGGGCGACCTCTGGTGGCAATAGGGTCTTCCTGCAAGGCTGTCGGCACTCAAGCGGCTGCAGCTTGGGTAGATACGAGAGGGTAGGTAGCTTTGGAGAGGTCCGCTTCTAAGACTGAGCTGGATGGGGGTGGGGTGTGTGTAGGGGCGTGGTCTGCAGTCATATTGGGCTCCTCTTCCGAACTGCTGCCTCCTTTCCGTCTCCTGGAATGACAACATGACCCTGGAATACCAGCTGCTCTCCTGGTCTCTGATAAAACGGTGGGTCCCAACCCTGAGTCCAGCCAGTAGTGAGGTACCAGGGATGGGGGAAATTATTAAATCTGCTGTGGTTATCATAGTATATTGCAACAGAGTGATGTGTCCGTTTCCAGTGTGTTGGAGCCTTATTCGGTATTCTCTTAGGCTTAAGGGCTCAAATGGATACCCTCTGAAACTCATTCCTATCTGTGTTTCTAGCCAAAAGCCAGCAGAACCCTTTGGTCACCAAAGAGGTCCAGGCAAAGGCCAGGACCCTGCATGTGGCATCGCCATCCAAGCTGGCAGAGCCACCTGTGACAACTCTTCAGCGCCACGGCAGCCATGGCCCTGGTCTGGCCCAGGTGCCCATCCCTACTCCACACCTCACAGCGCATGGACCCTCCGGCACCTCTGCTTCCCCAGGGCCTGGGCTAAGGTGAGCCCTAGACTCTGTATTCTCACTGGGTTTGTGGTGTGGCCCCCAGCCTCAGGCAGTCCTATTCTGGGCTCCCCTCAGTCTTCTGCAGACATACAAGGGGCAGAGACAGAAGTGAACAGTAGGGGTCTTAGGTAGGGTCCAACCCTAGCTCCCAAGAAGAGACTGGGACCCTTTCTCCCAGGTGAGACAACTTGTGTTCCCCTTACTCATCTCTTCCTCACGCCCCAGATGCCCCACTGGAGGACTGGGTCCTCCTTTCCTAAGGAAGGAGCTGGCGCGGCTGCTACGTTCCGGGATTATGCCTGGCTGTTTCCTGGGCCCAGGGAGGGAGCAGGGCCAGCTCTGGCAAACCAAACATGCTTGCAAGTGGTGAAGTGTGACTTTTATAGTTTTTCTTCTGGCCCACACATCCCTCATTTTTTTCTCCTCCTCAGCAGTACGCCCCCATTCAGTTCTGAAGAGGACTCAGAGGGAGTTTCTGGGCAGCGTGCATCTCTCCAGCCCTCACAAGTTCCTTCCAGGATGGGGCCCGGGCCTGAGGACTGGTCTGATACTGAGACCTCGGAGGCAAGCACCCCGTCCTCTGGCAAGGGCTCAGGTGGGCTGGCTTCCTCAGGTGAGTGGTCTGCAAACACTGGGCTAGCCCTTCCCCAGCCCAGATTTCTCTCTGTCCTGGAAACACCCTTTTCTTTGGGTTTTCTGATTTGGCAACTTGTGACTTAGACTTGGAGAGAAAGATCTTCCTTCCCATCAGATATTTTCCTGGGATGGAAGATATATCAGGAGCAAGATAGAATTTGAGTGAGGTTTATTTTGCCCCTGGTTTTGTTACTGAATTGTCTAGCTGTTGGAGGTTGAGGGGGGCCCACTCACCCCTTTCCTCCTCTAGGTTCTTTCCAGTAGAGAATAAACATGGTGGCCAGATACACTGAGATCAAAGCATTGCTCTGTTCATGGTGACAGGGCCCAGTAATGCCTAAGGCATCGGCTTCCTGTTAGAGCTGGATTGGCTCCTGAGGCCAAAATGGGGACCCCTGCATCCTCTGCCTCCCCAAATCCAGATCCTGACCATATTTGTACTTGGGGCTGGATCAGCAAAGAGGACTCTGAGTGGGTTAAAACAGGCAGCTGTGGGGACAATCGAGCTGCTTTTCAAACCCAGTCACTGGTGCGGGTAGAGGGTCAGAGAGAAAAATGAAGTCAGCAATCCTGGTCCTGTCCCAGCTGAAGCATAGCCCAGGGATGTTGCAGTCCTTCTCCTTGGTTAATTCTGTGGGTAGGAGAGGGTAAGAAGGCGTGGAGAGACACTGAGAGGTGTTCCTTCTATGCTTGGCCAACCTGGAGGGACAGCAGGAATTCCCTCACACCACCTGTGAGGTAAGGCATCTGCATAACCACACACTTTGTCACAGATGTCAAAACTAAGCCTCCGAGACCTTAAGTGACTTGTTCAAGATCGCAGAACTAACATCATGGAAAATTGATTCTGTGTTATGTTTTTGAAGTTAATGTGTTGGAGTTATTGTTTGTTTGTTTGTTTTTATTTGTGAAATAATTTTTTCCCAGAAAGAACTGCCGTTAGCCATTTTCCTAATATTAAGAATAGGCGCAGTCTACGTAAAGTATGCTGCTTGAGTTCATTAGCACCAGATCAAGGGGCTGTGGTCACCCTGTTAACTATTACCGTGGTTACTATGAGGTTCAATTACAATGAACGTTTTGACAAATACAGTTTCCTGTAACATGTAGTCTAGCAAACATAAGTTTTTGTAACAAAAAAGTAGTGAAAACTGTGGCTTCCCAGCCAGTCTTGAGATGGAAGGTGGTGATAGCCTCAAAAGGTGACAATGAATCTTCACAGCAGGCTACCTCAAGCCTACTTCAGCAGTCTTTGGGTCACAGGAAAGTTTTTGCTCTTTTCAGCAAAGACACTTAGACAGAAATTCAACTCGTTGATGACAAGGGCATTAGAGAAATTTAAGCTAAATGTTATGGTTAACTGGAATGAATACATCCATTAAATCTGTCACTTTCTATCTAACAGGTTATAATACTGAGCATTTGTCTTCTCAAAACAATTGCGTCAACTCCCATTCTTTCAAGATTTTCTTACAAAACTATTAGCAGAAAGGCGTGTGGCTTCTGGCTTCAGTTGCATTTTCTATCCCAGGCTTAGTTAAAAAATATAGAACTTCCAGTTTTGTAGTTCCAAAGTCAGTACGTGGATGCTCTGGGATATTATCCCAGGTCTGTGTAATCTGCAAGTCCATGCTCTTAATGGATTCTGCATAACTTCGTCTTGTCCATAGCATATTCCAAGCCTGCCAGCCATCAAAATCCACCAGAACCAGGTCTTTGGAGTAGTACCAATGGCCTGGAGGGCAAGCAAATGATTAGAAACATCTAGGAACCGGGAGTCAGGAGTCCTCAGATCCAGTTTGGGCTCTGTCACTTTCTACCTACCTGCTTGTGTGAGGGGTTTCAGTTTCTTTGTTGTAAAATAAGATACCTGGACAAGATGATTAATGAAAAGTGAGGAACAGTGCCTGGTACATAGTAGGCTCTTACACTTTTCTTGAATGAATCATTGAGCCAAGGGCTGCTGTAGCCCCAGCCGTGTGCTCAGGCCCTCAGACATTTGTATCCTAGAAGGCCGAGCTTAGCTCCCAACGTCTCGGTCATTCCTGAGGTCTGGACATGCACCTTATTTACCATGTCTCCAAAAGTCTGAAGCTAATGTATGCCACTGCTTGGCTCCCTTCCTGCATGGAGTTTGCAGAAAGTGTGTCTGGCCTGCAGTCCTCCTGTGCTAATTTATATTTATGATATTTCTTCTTGTCTCAGTGAAGACGTTGAAGGAGGATGTATCTGCATGTTAGTATTGCAGTTAGTTCATGTGCCAACTGAGCAGAGATTAAGAGGGAAGAACAGCTTCCTAATCCTCTATCCCCGCCAGGTTGTTAAGTGCACAGTTACATGTTCAGGATGTTCAAAGCCTCTTTTCTACAGCACAGGTTGGCCTGGGCCTTCCCTCTTTCCTTGCCCCCTTCTTTGTGGTTGCCCTTGCTTCTTCCTCCTGACCCTTCTCCATACTCCCTCTACCCACACGAGCAACACTGGAGCCTGGACCTGACCCACGAGGACATGGCATTCATGCTCTTCACTTTGCCCTCTGGTTGTCTTCCAGGAACATTGGTTCAGTCAATGGTCAGAAATCTCGAGAAGCAGCTGGAGGTTCCTGCGAAGAAGCCTGCTGGAGGGGTCAGTCTGTTCTTAACACCCAATGCCGGGCCACAGAGGGCGGCCGCAACAGGAAGGAAGCCTCAGGTAAGGTGTAGGACTCTTGGAGGTTGCCCTGCAATCCCCTACAGAGACAGCTCCAAGTTTCAGGGGCCTGGGGCGGGGCCTGCAGGAGGGTGATGGGAGTGTAGCATTGGCACTAGCAGGACATTGCAAGTGACCTCACTGTGGAGAGAGAGGCACTTTCAAATGCTTGTTGTTTGTGTCCATATTAATAGTAAAAAGCCTTTTGGTTCATTATACAAGCAACTACTTGGTGGATTGTTTCTCTCATTTCCTGCCTCCAGTGGAGCCTGGACCTGGCTCCGTGTCTGCCTTTCTGTAGCCGCTGCTCTCTGGCTCCTCCTACAGTGGACAGTTCCCCTTCCTTCTGTCTTTGAGGACCCCCACACAGGGCCCTGTGCTGAGCAGACTTCTCTGGGCGGGGGAGGAGGGGTTGGCTTGGCATCACACAGCACATCAGTTTAGGGGACAACATGCAATGGGAGTCTTTAGTACCTTTGTTCTCAAATTCACAGCCATTCCTCATACTAAGAAAGTCGTGATGACCTTGCCTCTCTCAGGCTCTAGCTGCCATCAGAGTTAAAACCTGGGATGCTCAGCCTCCCCAACCTTTACCAGCCCCCCCCCCCGCCCCCCACTGCCCTTCTCTCCCTCATCAGGGAACAACTCCCACATTCCTGTTACTTTTTTAGGCAGAAACATTGATTGCCCTTGTTACTTCATACTCCTTTTCTCTCCTTTCTCAATCAAAAAGGTACATCCTGAGGGCCGGCCGAGTGGCTCAGTTGGTTAAGAGCTCGCTCAAGAGTGTGAGCTCTGAGCAACAGGGTTGCCGGTTTGATTCTGGGCCCGAGCTGAGCTGCCACTGAGCTGCCAATGGGTGGCAGGATGGCTCAACTAAAAAAAACCTGATACATTCTGGGATGACAAATGCTGTCACTAAAATTCAGAAATCATGAGAAATCACTTTTTGATTCTCAATAGCATACGCCCCCTGCCCCATTTTTACTACATAATATATTTGGTTTATTATACAGCTCATGTGTGTTTGTGAGTAATGACTCTAAATAATTAAAACAATTTTTTTTTCCTTTTCCCACATTGTGAAAGGGCACCAACAGCCCAAAGCAGGTTGAGGAACTGCTCAGAGCATGCTTGCTGCCTTGGGCCCTGTGTGGTTTCTGATTGGTTGGACTTGTATTCCAGGAGAAAACACATAGGATGCTTCTATCAAAGCCAGGTGGCCAGGGCCTCCTGTCGGCAGGGGCACTAGGAGTTCCGGAGCGGTGGCTGTGGTCCCAGGGTAGCCTGGGCCCTTGGCCCACTCTGGGCAATCCAGTTGGCCACAGCCCAGACCCTTTCCAGGCTGAAGGATTCCTGGCACTCTGGAACTCTCCTCATGCTCCTTCAGCCTGAGTGTTTACTAGGCCCTAAAGGAGCCATCTGAGAGGAGGGGAGGAGGGCACTTTAGCGCCTGGTGCATTCAGCTCAGGAATTCAGAAAAGTCAAGGCTCCGGAGCCTTCCAGCTCCACTGACGTGGGGCATTAAAAAACCCGGACGAAGGTTAAATGACAAAACAAAGCAGCCTAATCTGCCGTGGTTCTTTCCGAGGAGCTTGCCTTGATTTGGCCAGTGGAATTTCAGGAGTGTGTGAAATCAATCTGCTGCCATGTCCCTGCAGCGTGTTCTCAAAGATAGGGAACCTGGAGAGAACAGGAGGAGCGGCATCTTCCTGCTTTCTTCCAAATCGGCGTTTTGTCCCCATGTCCGTCTACATCCCCATTCTCCCTTGTCAGAATGCCTTTTTTTCTCCTGCTTACCTCCCTGCAGCTTTCCGATGATGACAGTGACTTGGAGGTCTCTTCCTTGGAAGATCTCCCCCAGAACCTGGACCAGAAAGAGAAACCGAAGCCCTTGTCTCGCTTGAAGCTCCCAGAGAAGTTTGGCGCCAGTGCTTGGAGCCCTGGCCAACCCAGGGTCCCTGGCTGGTGATCCCACGCCAGAGCCTGGCTGGCTGGAGGACCAGTTTTATCACCAGGCTTGGGCCAGCTGAGGTCCCACCCCAACAGAAGAGGCTGCTGGGCCCCTTGTCTTTTCAATAACCAAGAGGCCTTCTCCCTTGGAGAGAAGTGGAACAGAAGATGGATTTGACTCCTCTCCTCCAGCCTGGGAGGGTGGGAGGGACCCTCCCCCAGAGTGTTACGGAGGCCTGGCTGGGTGACCCTGGGGCTTAAGAAAGGGCTATAACAGGACCTCTGAGCAGTTTCCTTTCTCCACCTCCATGTTCACACCCGACTGGAAGGAGCCACTTGGTCTCTATTCTCAAGCGTTTGTAAACCTGCAGGAATACTGTGGAGATGTGTCTTAGATGGGGTCCTTTTGGGGACATGTGTCTCAGTCATTCAATGATTGATCCAAAGTCATTTACTAGGTACCTGTTCTGTGCCAGGTCCTCCACTGCTGAACTGGGGTGCAGGCAGAGGTGGGTGAGGCAGAAAGTGTGGGGTAATAATCTAGTGACAGAGATTAGGGTGTCATGGGAGCAGAGGGGGGCCACCCCATGCAGCCTGGGGTGATCTTGGAGACCTTCCCATAGTTGATATCTGGCAGGGCTTGCTCATGGGTGGGAACAAGGAGGGACCCTTGATTGGGGTCTCATATCCCCAAAAGACCACAAATTTAATTTTTGATATTATTTCCAAAATTAGGTTAAATGTAACCACTGTATTTTTTTAAATGTGAAAAGCATTAATTTATTATATGTAAACATTTAAATATAACAAAATGTTTATAACTCTCTGGTATTTCTTCATTATTTTTGGAGCTTTAGCAGGGGTGGTGGGGAGGTGAAACAACCTACAACTTCATTGTGCCAGTTTAGGTCCTTTGGGATGCAGTCACCAAGATGGCGCTTGGAGTGCAAGAGGTTTGTTGGGGAGCCACACCTGTGAAAAGTGAAGGTGGAGGAAGCAGGATTGGGCAGGGGGAGCCCCAGACCTCCATGCAGGGCTGACATCTTGCCAACCCAGTAGGAGCTCCAGGGCAGAAGCTTCCCACCAGTGCGTCCCCATTGGGCAGAAATGGGCTGGCCCTATTGTCTCTATTCTGCTCTGTCATTGGTGGGGCGGCGCAGACTGAGTGAGACTTTGATTTGAAAGCTGAGGTCAGCCAACTTCGTTCTTCATAGTTGAACAACAATTTTTTCCGGAAGGGACATCCAGCCATGCACCTTCACACCTCACAAGCAGAGGGAGTAGCGTGATGAGCCCACGTGCCCAACACCCAGCTTCAACTGTTATTAAGCCAACTCATGTCCAATCTTGCTTCATCTATCTCTACCCACTACTTCGGGTCTGTCCCCCTCCCAAGTCTCTATTCGGGCTTCTTTTGACCTTTCGGTGGTCCTGACACCTGGGATAGGGCTTGATGTTCTAGTAGGAGGAACCAGGGGAAGTGAGGGAAGAAAGGCATTGCAGAGGCAGAGGGGATCTCGGGTGGGACGGTTTGGGGTATCATGGTATAAGGCTGTTCAGTGAGGCCAGAGCACAGCTTTTGAAGGGCCTTATGCGGGACTGGGGGCAGCACAGCCCAGGCTGGCTGGGGGTAATTCGTTTTGTGTATCATACCTTTGAGCAGCTAAGACTGTGTCTGATGGAATCTCAGTGGCTTTGTGAGGAGGGTCAGTGAGTGCTGAGTGGTGGCGTTCATCCCCCTCTCAGGATTCTGCCAATAAAGTCATGTTTTCCTAATCACTAGTTTTGGGCAAGGGAAGTGTAAAAGATGCTTATGGTGGCCCTGGCCACATCCTGGTTTCCCACAGCTCTGAGCACGCTTTGGGTGCCAGGTCCTCACATTATACACATGCCCTGGAGCCTCTACCATTTTGTCCTCAGGGCTGTCTCTGCCGCTGTGGGAGGCTGCACAGTCTTCTTGCAGGTACTACCTGGGAGAGCAGGCAAGCTGACACTACCAGGGCCCACAACCAAGGTGGGGTGGGAGTAACTGGTGAGTAATTGTTCCAGCTTTCCTGTGCTTTGGGGGTTCAATAGTGATTTATTCCGCAGTTTCACAGAGAGTCCCCAGTGGGAGTGAATCCCAGTTGCGTGCAGCAGTTACTACTCATTAATGCACCCTTTATTGGCCTTTCTTCCTCCTGTTTAATTTTTCTCACTTTCTCACATCTGCTTCTTGGGAGCACCTTTGACATAAATTAACCTGTTTCCAGGTCCTTGCCCCAGGCTCTGCTCTCAGGGGGAACCTAAGTGCAATAGACGTGTGTGCACGTGTGTTTGCATATGCACATACACACTGGTGATAATTACTAGAGAGAATGACTCTGTTCCTGAATGTTGATTATTAAGTTATATGATTCCAAATGTGTTTTTCTATCTACTTTGGGGACTAACATATTAGTTTTGGGTTTCTATGCTGTTTACCCCTCCCATTTTCAGATACATTTAAACATTTTTTGGGCAAGATTTATAGGAACTTTGAAACGTGTATGAGTCAGGGTTCTCCAGAGAAGCAGAACAATAAGATGTGCATATGGATTTATTATAGGAATTGCTCATGCAATTATGGATACTGAGAAGTCCCAAGATCTACCTTCTATAGAGCCAGGAAAGCCTCTGATGTGAGTCCTGGAGTTCATGGGCCTGACAACTAGGAGTTCTAATGTCCACAGGCAGGAGAAGTTGGGTGTCCCAGCTCAAGCAGAGAGAACTAATTGGTTCTTTCTTTGCCTTTTTGTTATTGGGGCCCTCAGTGGACTGGTTGATGCCCACCCACATTGGTAAGGGCCGGTCTCTTGATTTACTCTGTGTGCTGAATCAATTGCTAATCTCTTCCGGAAACACCCTGAGAGACTCACCTGGAAATAATGTTTTACCAGCTATCTGGGCATCCCTAAGCCTAGTCAAGTTGACCCATAAAATTAGCCATCACAATACGAAATAAATTATTTTTAAAATTACATAAACAAGATTCATGTAGATAAATGATAAAACACAGATAATCAAAAAGAAAAATAATTATGTAATACATCATTTATTTATCACATTGTGTGTTCACCACCCAGAGTCAGTTCTCTTTCAATCACTATTTTTTTGTTCCCCTTTACCCTCCTCTACCACCCCCCAACCCCCTTACCCTCTGGTAACCACTAAACTATTGCCTATGTCTATGAGTTTTGTTTCTTCATTTGTTTTTCTTGTTCTTTTGTTGTTTTCAGTTTTATATACCACATATCAGTGAAATCATATGGTTCTCGACTTTTTCTGTCTGACTTATTTCACTTAGCATTATAATCTCAAGATCTATCCATGTTGTTGCAAATGGCACTATTTCATCTTTTTTTTATGGCAGAATAGTATTCCATTGTGCATATATACCACAACTTCTTTATCCAGTCATCTATCGAAGGACACTTTGGTTGTTTCCTTTGCTAACAACTGTTACCCCAATAAACTTTAATTAAAAAAAAAAAAGAAATCTGAATAACTCCCACATCCAGAATCAACCACCATTAACATTGAGGTATAAATGCATTGATTAAAAAAATACATATGTTTCCTTCCTAGGGTTCAACTATATTTATTCTTTAAATGTAATTATGTTAATACATATGTATTGATATAAGGACATTTATAATATATTTTCAAGAAGGAAAATCAAGCTAATTACAAGGTAAAGATTACAAAAATGTATTTAACCAGACATTTCCACTTTGGGCCTTTAATAAATCATGAAATGATAAACAAATGTGTATATATATCTGTGTGCACTTAATTAAGATCTCCTTAGAAGTGAGGTTGCTGGACCAACACAAAGCCAGCATTCTATGACAGGCTTTGGTTTAAGTTTCTTACCACTATTCACTGATCGAACCTCACAGCAACCTTTTGAAGTGGTGTCACCATATCAGTCATTCTATGACTAGGGACTGAGACACAGAGCAGTTAAGACACTTGCTTTGAGTTCTGTCACCAGTGAGTAAGTGGTACCTCTGGGGTCTAACCTGGGCTGGCTGGCCCGGGAGCCCTGGCTCCTAACATGTACTTTGGGGATTTTTGTTACATGTTGCCGAATGCTCTCTAGGACGCCTGAACCAATTTATCTGGTGTTGGCTGTGCTCATTTTCACAGTCCCTTGTCACCAGGGGGTGCTGATCATCTGTAAATATTTGGACAATGTGGTAAGTAAAAAAATGAAACCTCACCTTTTAAAAAATTTACATTTTTAAAGAAGTTTTCTTCTAATGTAGGATTAGTTTTCATTTTCATATTGACTGTTTCTATTTCTTCTCTTAAAAATTGCCTGATCATATTCTTAGTCCATATATTTTTCAGTTGATGTTTTCTTTGTTGCTCTTTTCTTTGTCTTTTTATTATTGAAAATTTTAAGCATACATAAAAATAGAGAAAATGTGTAATGGCCTCGATGAAGGCCATCGCTTAGCTTTATCAATTGTCAACACATGGTTGACTCTTGTTTCCTCTAAACTCCTTGCCAACCTCCTTCCAAAGAATCATACTATTATATCTACAAATATTTCCATATGTATCTCTAAAATATACTTCCTTTAAAAACTAACCATTATACCACCACTGCCACAGTAAAACAAAAATCAGTATCTTCTAAACATCACCCAATATCTATTCAGTGTTCACATCTCCTGTTTTCTTACACATGTTTAAGTCTCTTATAACTTATACATTCCTATTCCATTCCCTTCCCTTCCTTCCCTCCCTGTTTTCCTCCCTCATAATCTTTATTATTTTTGTGGTTGCTGAAGAAATTGGGTTATTTGCCTTTTGGAATTCCCCCTAGTCTGGGCTTCACTGAGTGCAGTACTGTGGTGCTACTGAATACATATATTCCTCTTCCCCTGAACTATCTGCAAAATTTGTAGTTAGACCTGAATACTTGACCAGGTTCAGCTCTTTTGATTTTTGATTCTTTTGGAGAAGACACTTCATAGGTGGTGGTGTGCACTTCCATCAGGAGGCGCGATAAGGTCTGGTTCCCTCTTTTCATGAGTTGATGATGACTTTGATGGTATATTAAAGACCTTTGCTTAAATCTATCTATTGATTTTAAGGATTTCTACAATTGTGATATTCTAAATCTAGCATTCCTTTGGCATTTGCTAGCTGGAAAACTTCTGTGAGGAGAAATTCCCCATATCAAACTGTGGTTGCCTGGAGATATAGTTTATATAGGTAAGGAAGCTCAGGGTTTGATTTCCCCTTGCAGAAGAATGAGTTGGTTTCCTAGTATCCTCCATAGGTACCATAGGAACTCATATATTTATATTTGTTGAAACTGATTGTAGTTGTTATCCTTGTTGATGCTGAGATTGTCCTGTTTTTGGCCAATGGGAACCTCTTCAAGCTGGCTCCTGGGTCCTTTTGAATGACTTTAGCAGTCTGATATCTTCCTTGCTATGAAAGATGAAAGATGATCCAAACTCATATTGTACATTTCCTGCCTCAGACCTGAAATTAGTAGTGTCTCTGGGGAATCCTTGTTTCTTTTAGAGGAAAATGGTATTTATAGACACAATCTGGGTGGTTTCTATTAGCCGAGGGTGCTTTTTGCTGCTGGACTTGTCCTTCTTTCTAAGCCCTTTCAGTGGGCAGAGATAGGAAATACAGTTAGGAAACTATATTGTGCATTCATACTGGTATTTCCCATTCAAATTCAGGACTACAGGGTTTGTACTTTACCTCATTGATGTAACATGTATCTGTATCTCTTTTCTTCCATA